CTTTCCTTCAATTTTATTTATTTTGTTTTTGACATTTTCCTGTTTTTTTTTTCACACCCAAAGCAATATATATTTACAAATATACAATTTAAATGTAAAATTTTGACTGCATGAGTTTTTAGTTCTGAATAAACAAAAATAAGTTATTTGGAAATATAAAAACAAATCCTCCTAACTCACAAAGACTTCAGAACAAGCTCTCCATTTTGGAGTTCAGTCTTAAATTTTAATTTTGTATCTTTTCAAACTAGTCACAAAAAATGACATTCACTTTGAATGTTGCTCGTTTTGCTGATCATTCGTTTCTAGCGTTTGGATAAAAGTCTTCTCAAGGTGCATGCTGTCTTTGGCTACATTTATAGTGCMGGCAAATACAACCCAAATCATTTTTTTTTTGCCTCTATGTGTCCCATATCAGATTTTTCATGGCAGTCTGAACGTGACGAATCCAATTTTTTCAAATCAGACCAAAGACTTTTCAGTATTTAGCATTGAATCAAATCTAAACACACTGGAGTCTGTTGGAAATAGAAAAATATGATCTGCAGTGTGAATATAGCCTTAGATTGAAATGTTATCTTTTTTCTTATTTTATAGCTTTTTCCATTGTATTTTTCAAGCTACAGTAAGGAACAATATGGAACATCTATTTTCTAAAGTATCAGATCTTTGTGAAATTAAGTTTGACTGAACTGTTGGAATATCTGGATTAAAACTTGACAGGATGCAGTTATTGCAGGGAAATCGGTCTTTCATAGATCCAAGCACAGGAATCTATATTTTTAGGGTGAATAATAAAGGTCATCATCATAAAAAAAGTCACTTCTGATTTCTTCCTCTGACTGTAAAGCAGCCCCTGCTGATACGTCCAGTGGATTATTAAAATAAATCCTCCCCTACAGTTTTAATGAGCTCTCGCTGGTGCTGCGTTTCATTACAGTGGAAAAAAACTCAGCTTTTCCCCCTGCTGCCCTCACAGCCTCATCTTTTCAAAGTGGAGTAATGAGCAGCTTGATCGGTATGCTTCTGACATTTGACTGTGTTAGGATTATAGCACCAACAGGTCAGAGGACAACACAGTGGTGAGATTTTGCTCACAGTGGACGTTTTTATTTGTCACTGTGGGACTCTAACAGATGTTGCAAACAACCGCAGTCATGGCTCTTCAATCAAAGTAAGCCTTGATGAGTAAACTGTAACAGATAACCTGAGCTCAGCTTTATTCAGTCACACCTATTCCTCTCCTGTTTCATGCAAAAGACTAAAATATAAAATATTGTGTTTCTATGTTAGTGCAGCTTCTAGGTTTAAAGGTGCTAGCATACCACATAACTGTTTTAATTTCTTTCGTGTACTTTTAGCAAAAAGTAGGATAAAGCACACGTTATATGAATTAACTCTGTAAATGTGCTGTATTGTGTGAAAATATTCAAACTCAATCAAAGGCAGCTGGGATTTCTCATCTGAAAAGCTTTGGTGACTAAAACTGAAAGGTGCAATGCTCCAAGAAAGGAAAGTTAGTTTGAGCAAAACGTGAAGGAAAAAATAAGCTTGAAACGTTATACTTTTCTATTTAAATTGCTGAGGCTTCTCAGCTGAGAAATACTGTATATGGAAGAGGATTAGGGCCGCAGAGCAAGAAAATAATGACTTTTTTTTCCTGGGTTCTGACTTTTTTCTTAGAATTCTGAGATTAAAGTTAAAAATCTGACTTTTTCCTAATTCTGAGAAAACAGACAGAATTCTGACTTTCTTTCTCAGAATTCCAAGGTTAAAATCAAAATGCAGAAAAACAATATTTTGCTTTGTGGCCCTAATCCTCTTATAGCAATAAAATATTTTAAATAAAAAACAGAAAAACAAAGTAGAACTCAATGCCAAAGCATCGACTGGTATGCCTCCGCCTGCCCTAGACTCATCTGCATTTAAAGCACTGGGCATGCAGTTACCTGTTGACCTCTATTTTTGGACTTAAATATTATTTTAAATATTCTAAGAAGTATGTAACTTTATCAACAATGTCTAAATATGACTTCCTCTTTGATACTTACCATATCATTAATTTCAGTGACCAACCACTGTGTAACATCCAAAATAAGGGGACTCAAGCAACAATGATCATTTTACATGACCTTCAGATTTGACCTTTGACCCCAAAATGTTTTCAGACCTTCGTTGGGCCAAGAACAATTATTMTATCAATTTTGATTGAAATCAATAGCTTTGTTCAGGAGATACAGTGCACACTATACAGTGTGAGGAACACCCGGTAAAGCCCAGATGGACAATCAGAGAACAGTGTGCCTCTTCAGATGTAGGCAGAACAAAAGTCTTRTGATCTTTGACTGAATTTGACAGAATTACAAGGGCCTTGAGTTTATAACAGCCGTGGTGTGTTCATTACATGTTGTTTCCTTTTATTATTCAGTAAATTGTACTTTCAGCACAATGTTGCATTTTAAAACATCCCTCAGGCATAAAAAAGGGAGAGATCTTCTTTTTAGCATACATACTGCAATTAAATCTTCAAACTGTACGACTGCGTTGATGCCGTAAGTGATTAACCTCTCTTCTCATGTCCTCAGTACAAACCTGTGGCATTCGCTGTTCGTTGCAACTTCTCTTACACACCAGCTGATGACGACAACGTCCCCGTACCCGGCCAAGCCGTCACCTTTGAGGCCAAAGACTTCCTGCATGTCAAAGAGGTCTAACAGACACGTCATGCAAGTTTAAAATGAAGGCAACACAAATTTGGATTCTAGTTTGTGAGCCACATCAAGCTTCTTAATATACTTTTTTTTTTTACTTCATAATGGCCAGAAATTCAACAACGAATGGTGGATTGGACGACCGGTGAAAGAGGATGGTGTGGTGGGCTTCGTCCCCAGTCCAGTCAACCTGGAGACCATCCTCATCAGAAGAGAAGTCCAAGCAAGAAAAGCTGCCAAGGCCTTAGCCAAGTATGAAAASAAAGCTGCTCTTTTGCACAGATGTTCGTTTGTGAAGCAATCCGAAAGAATTACAAACCTTACAACAAAAGTCAAAAATGTAATGATTGTGACTCAGTAATGTTTAAACAATTTATATTTTTTTAAATATATTTGGAAAATTATTTTTATTATCAATTTATAAAAATAAATTGGTTCATGAAAATTATTCAGTTATTTTTTTATTTCCAACTCTATGCATAATGGGCTCAATTATTATTTGCTAAATGCTTCCTGAGTGTTTTCTATAAGCATATATCAAAATTTAAAGCAGTAAATCTTACCTTAAGATGTGTAGTGATATATTTTTATCTTGCTTAAAGTKGTGAAATTTGATTAAATCACTTTGAGCAAATTCACAACCTATTTCTCGTTGCAGTAAAGCGGCATCTCAAGCGGCTCAAGATATGAACTCCAAGAAATATACTCCTCCATCCCAAGGTCCGTTTCAGTGTTCAGTTAAGAAAAACATGCTTTTTATCTGTTGTAACAGCTGAGCTAACATGAATTTTTTGTTCTTGTATGTTAACAGCCAATCAGCAGGTGAAAAAGAAACCGGTGAGTGGTTCAACCAAATTTGTTTCTTAACCATATTTTAGCTTTTTTGGTTCGGACCTTAACATTTTTCCATGCTAACATATTACTCTCCATTTTTTAACAGCAGTTTGAGACAGATATCAAAAGCGTCAGAAATGCGATTTTATTTTATCTGAATGTGTCAGACACATTTTCTGAGGTTTTTGTCAAATGTAAAATTTGCCTACTGCCATAAAAAGCATTTATCTCATGATGTGTGTAAACTGTATGTTTATCTGTCTGTAAGTAAAATATTTTATGAACCATTAGACAGACTTAAATTAAAGTAATTGTTGAGCGATAATAACTGATTAACTTTTTAAGTCAAATTAATTCAAAGTGGCTGCCACAAGTAATCAACTTTAGCAAAAGGAAAAATGGCTAAAAGTGATTATATTTTACAAATATTTAGCTAAAATTTGACTTGGTAGTTGCTGAGAGTTATTCCAAACACATATGTTGAGTGCTAACAAAGTTTAACATGAAGGATGGTGGGTGATATGCATTCTTTCAAGGAAGTTTCCTTTTGCAAAGTTTCAGCTGATGTCTGAGTGTCACAGAAATTCCCATTTACCTACAAATCTTTGACCAGATCAATTAGTCTTCATCGACAGAATCAGCGTAAATATAAATATTGAAAAACCTCAAATGTATGAACAGAGCCATTTAAACATCAAACAGGACTAAAATATGAAGACAAGATAGGATAAGATAAGATAAGAAAAGATAAGATGAAATCAGTTAATCCTTACCACTACTTTTTCTACAACAGCTTTATTTACAATACTAATAAAAATACATATTTTGTCAAGAGCACAACAAACAACAAAAAAGTAAACCTAAAATGAACCTAATGAATTTATAGAAATGTGCTTTAACTTGTGTGATGATAATAAGATATAAAATGATGCATGTGAGGCTGTTGCAGGTAATTAAGAATAGAATAGAATAGAATAGAATAGAATAGAATAGAATAGAATAGAATAGAATAGAATAGAATAGAATAGAATAGAATGCCTTTATTGTCACTATACGCTTGTACGAGATTAAAAAGGCACTCCTTTTCCAGTACAAGCACAAATAAAATATAAAAAAGAAAAAACACTATATGAGTAAAAATAATTAACAACAAAGATTGTAAAAAGTGACATTGCACATTATATATAWTGGTCAGTGGAAACTAGTGATAATAATGGAATTAAACAGAGACATTGCACAGTAGAGTTGTAAACTAATTCTCAGTATTGTCAGTAATGTATAATATGGTGGTGAGAGGTCCTGGGGGTTGTGAGATAAAATCATGATGTCAGTGTGTGTGTGAGTTCAATGTGCTGTAAGTTGCCCTAAAACAAAAAGATGATTATTTTCCATGGGTCTGTGTCTACAGGGGGAGCAGGTGAGCATGTATGATGTTGTGCCCACGATGCGTCCTGTGGTTCTCATGGGGCCGTCGTTGAAGGGCTTAGAGGTGATTTTATTTCAAATTTTGAAGAGCCCACACAAAAAACCCAACAATTCAAAAATGTCATGCCTAAATTCAGATTTTGAAAACTATATTTTGTTGTGTTGTTTAATTTCAGGTTACAGACATGATGCAAAAAGCACTTTTTGACTATTTAAAGCATCGGTTTGAGGGAAGGTACGTTTTCATTCATTCATTCATTACAGTCAAGCAGAAAAAAATAGATTTGTAATCAGGCTTAATTATTTTGTCTCTTCCAGAGTTACCATCACACGGGTCACAGCTGACATCTCTTTGGCCAAACGCTCCATCCTCAACAATCCAGGCAARAAGGCCTTAATGGATCGATCCAACACAAGATCTAACTTGGGTAAGTAGTTAATCATCCTGTTAATCTATAGCTTGAAGATATTTTTTTTCTAGTTATGCACCAAATAGTGTTTATATGAAGAGAACTCAGATAGTATCAAGCAGAGGAAAGACAGCTAAATCAGTGTCTAAATAGTTTTCTATAATTGCCTTTTGGTACAGATGCTGCCTCTGGTGGCAAATTTGACCCACTTAAAACTAATTACTTAAAAAAAATCAGATGCTATTTTCTTTCTTGCAGTTTGTGATCTTGCTCACGCTGATGACCCACACAGTCAATCACAACAAATTATTTTTGGCAGAACAGTCACTTTATCATATCATATCACTTTTATTATTTGTTAATTAYCTTAAATAATTGTTAGTTAGGTAGGATTTCTGTTCTGGAGAAATTGACATTATTCTCGCACATCATTAACAGAGGAAAGAACCACACTTAAACAGAGAGGGGACAACATTTACTTGGTTTTCTTTACTCTTGTCTCTCGCATCGCTGTCTGATCCCAGATACTGCTGGTATGTATGACTGGAAGTGCTGGTAGCCCTTGTGTATTTGAGAGCTCCACCTCCCTTGTGTCCCGTTTATTACCTCTTATCAGCACCAGCAGTCAACGCCTCTTCACCTTTGCATACTGTACACATTTTAAAGACAGCAACTGATTTTTACTTTGTGTACATTTGGATTAAAATGCTAAACTTTGACAAAGAGTCTTTAAATTGTGTGTTAAATTAGTCAAAACTCAGTGTTCTGCTTTCTTGCTCGCCCTCTAGTGGTGGATTTTTAAATTACTCCTCCCATGAGTCAGTATGAAAACCCTCAATATATTAGTAATGCAACAAAACAAAGAAAAAAACACTTCATTAGATAATGTGTTTCAATGGCACTGTCCACTGGTCTTTTTGCATTTAAGGTTTTTAATGTGAATTTATGGGACTTATTTTTAACATACCAGTGACGGTCTTTTCTGTTTTACTATAACAATRGATCATATTTTTTTTACTTGTCCCACAAAATTTTAAGTTCCTAAATATGTATGTATGGGAGCAAATGAGTTTAATTGCATGTATTTATGATTTATGTAGCTTACTGTGTAAGATGCTTGCCAGTGGATGAGAAACACCTTTTTGTTTTTCTTCCACAAATCATTTTCCCCACAGAGACAAGTAAAGTAACCCTATATTGCTCATTTAAAAATATCTCATTTGCTTTTGTATAATTATATGAAGTCACTAAAAAGTACCATAATGACAGCAAATATTAATTATTCCATTTTCAATTTAGTATACATTTTTTTCAATTACATGAAATTACCGTAATTAAAAAAGATACTTCAAAGGTTGTCTGTGAGAGTTGAACATTTACAAGTAATGTACAAACAAATTCCTTTCTTGTGTTGAAGATTTTAAAGGCTTTGTTGTTGTTTTGTTCTGCCTGCTGTTCCAGCTCAGATCCAGGGCGAGGTGGAGCGTATATTTGAGCTGGCACGCAGCATGCAGCTGGTGGTTTTAGATGCAGACACAATTAACCATCCTCTGCAGGTGTCCAAGACCTCGCTCGCACCAATCCTCGTGTATGTGAAGATCTCGTCACCAAAAGTAAGTGTCAGCAATGTCAACTGTGCAACCAGAGATAAAAATAAAAAAACAGTTTTGCCAAAATGGACCTCTATCCTATGTGTAGGTGTTAACAAGACTCATCAAGACCAGAGGAAAGTCTCAGACCAAACACCTTAATGTTCAGCTTGTGGCAGCAGACAAGCTTGCTCAATGTCCTCCGGTGAGTGCCATCTAGTGGAGAGTATAACAACTGCACAWAATAACTCTCATAAAGACTCTATCAATCATTTCATGTTTTGTGTTTAATCCCAAACACTATTAATTACTAAAACAACAAAAAAATCTCTGTTTTCTTTACATTGATGTGTATTTTTTAAAGTTAATTGCACCGCTCTTCAGTCACCTCATAGTCATGCTGTTCATTGAATCAGTTTATTGGCTGTTTGCTGATATTGATTGTGAATTTCCTGTAGGAAATGTTTGATGTCATCTTAGATGAGAACCAGCTAACAGACGCTTGTGAGCACATCGCTGATTACCTTGAATCTTACTGGAGAGCAACACATCCACCAGAGATGGAGCCTGCTAATGCAGTGGTGGCACAGCTGGCTGAGAACACGCTGCCTGCCAGTCCTACAACAATACCGGTACAGAACACAAAGAATTGCAAACATTTTTTTAAAGATATCTAAAGCCATTTCACCTCATTTCATCACATTGTTTTGATGAGTAGCAATAAACCACTAGATGTAGTAAAACTTATCATCTGTATTTGTTTCCATTGCTTCATTTAATGTTTCCATTTCATGTCTTCCGGTCTTTCTACACCACAAAGGTGAAGAAGAAATAAGATAGGTAAACCACTGGTGAGTGAGATACCTCCATTTTGTAGCTCCAGTTTTATATTAAAGGAAAAAAAACTTTAAAATACAGCCAGAAATATGTGTGTATTGTGTCTGCATATGTTGTAGAAAACCATATTATTTCTACAAATATAATATCAGTTTGATATTCTTACACAAATACAGAAATTAGCACATGTTGAACTGTCAACACGTAGGAAATTTTATCTTAGAAAAGTATAACTTTGCATCATAAATGTAACGTATTTCTATATCCTCTCAATTTAAAATATATAACACAAAATATTCAACATGCTTGTTTAAAGAAGTGTCATGAATCAGTACACTGCAAACCTATTTCTGTCCGTCTCCAGTAGAAAGCAATATGGTAAATTATGAAACATAAAGTACTGTAGGATAAAGATTTATTATTATTATTATTATTATTATTATTATTATTATTATTTATTCATTTTATTTTACTTTTTGAGTGTTGATTTGTCATACTTGTTTGAGAAAACCTTGATTCTCTTGTGGTAGTCATGTGGAGCTGCCTATATGCTTGCTGGTACAAAGCACCACCTATTTGTACAAAGCTCCTCCCTGGAGCTCAGTCTGCAGCCATGCTCCGGCCCCACAGAGCACCCCTCCCACAAAGCATTGTTTAAAAACGTGCTGAAGCGKGAGTGTTGGAGGTGGTAGAAGGTTCTAGAGACRGAGGTTAATTTAAGGCATTTAGATTTATAGTTACACAGCTTTTTAATAACAACTGAGGCAACATAGTTACATGATTGTGGTATAGACGTGTACTATGTGCCTGGAAAATACGTAATACCACCCCCTCTCCTTTTTTATAGAGAATGTTTGTGTTTGGAGACACCCTCAAATGGCTGCTTTAGGAACTGCAGTTTGTGGCTTCACCATATTAGTTTCATATTTCATCAAAATACTGAACACCTTGGTCAAGATGCAAATTTGAATTGAGTGTAATTGTGTACAGATGACTGCTCAGAGTTCTCTCTAAGTAGGATAAAGTGGATAAAATGTCTTTAAAAATGTTAACAAAATTATTTGTATACTGCTTAAAACTAAATATTGCTTAAATCATTTGAAAATAATAATTTTATATTTGAAGCGTAAGCTGAAATTTTGTTTTTATCATACTATATAATACTCATTACATCAGCATTTTTGTAACATAAAATTTCTTTGATTTCACATTTTTTCCCTCTGAAATTGAATATGTATAAACTACACAGTGTGACTATTAAGATGGGATTCTGTTCACTTTTTGTCCAAGGATGAGCAGAAGAGTAAGAAGTCAGCTGCCCCAAAGAGGAAGGGCTCCCATGAGAACCACCCAGACAAAGAGCCCCCGTTAGTCCCATACCAGGAGCAGAGAGCTGAGGAAGGTCAAAGAGAGGATGAGGAGGAGAGGATTTTGAGGACRGAACCAAAGAGACCCCAACACACCCACCACCATCATCACCATCATCACCACCGCCGGATGGAGCACCACAGCCTCCCCCAGCGCAGCCAAGCATCCGGCTGCATGGAAATAAAGTCAGGCAGAGATCAAACCCAAAGGCTCCCACGGTGTCATCTTCCAGAGGAGAGGGAGGATGGGTTGGACAATGTGGGAGAGAGGGAGGAAGAGGAGGAGGAGGAGGAGAAAACACACTACAAGCAACGGGGCCATAACCATCACAGCAGTAGCCACCACCATCACCACCATCACCACCACCACCATCAACAGCAGCGTCATCGTGGAAACAGCCAGCTACATGACAGGGATGGTTACGAGCAGGAGCACAATGAACGCAACCGACATCCGAGGCATCACCAGCATATCCCTGCGCGGACGCACCACGCGGACCACTATTCTGCACACAATCAGCACAGCTACCACCACTACCACGGCAGAGACAGGGACAGAGACCGAGATCGGGACCGAGACAGAGGTCGAGATCGAGACAGAGAAAGACACAAAGAATGGGACAGAGACAGAGGTAGAGACAAAGATGCACAACAATGGCACAGAGATTCTTATATAAACTAGTGACTGCTGTTTTCTCCAGCAGCTTGGTGCACAGTCTTATGCTGCTCAATWCGAAATGCACTTGCAGGTGGGATGGAGTCCTGTTTGTCCTCCATATTTCTCTTATTTATTATATATTTGACACTCTCTGTCACTCACACCTTTCATTTGTTTTCCAAAAACAACTTAAGCCCTTCTATACAAACACAATTTAGTTTCAGGTTTTAATAGAAGTAWATTGGCAAGTATTTGAAGCTGAGAAACTTAAACATTAACTTCCAATTATTTAATGTCAACTAAAAAATAAATCACACACTTTATAAATTCTCACTGCCCAAGATTACATTCTAATCTACTTTAAGTTAAAAGAAACTGTATTATTATTATTCAATAAAGGGGATTTTTTAACATGGTAGATAGGTTTTAGAATTTTAATGTTTACAGAACAAAAGAGGTTTGTTTCTTATTTTCAAATGTTAAAAAAACAGCAAAGAATAACCTGATTTAGCATCCTTTGCTCCTTCTGTTCTTTGTTTTAACTATAGTGCATCTTTAAATGCCAAAAATTTATGTTATTTTAAACACTGGTACGTAAAATCAACCATTATTTTTGTCTCATTTCTAAATAAAAGTCATAATGTGCTTCCTATTTTTATAATAAGCTTATCAACTGTCTTGCATTTGATCTGTTTGGAAGCATGAATAGTTTTATGGTGACACTGAATTATATGCTGGATACTCTATGCATCTTCTTGTGACAAAACACATTGCTTGAATACGATCTATGCATTTGTATATACTTCATATTTGCCTTGCTGTGTAAATGGAAAGAGAACCAGAGAGCCTGCTGCACTGTCGGAGTAGATCTTCTGTGGATGACTGGTTTTATTTTCTGAATGTTTCCTTCAAGATTTGTTTTGATTATATTGTTTTGTACAACCTTCAGAAGTTAGTTTCGAGAATGATGCATTTTATTGTTGGAAAATCATTAAACAATAAAAAATAGACATTTCTTTTAAAAATATTACCAGTTGCCCTTATATAAAAATAAGCATTTTGTTTTAACAACTACTAAAGGTTTGAAAAGTTATTACGTATCTGCAGTGAGCAAAGAAAACATTAATTGTAAAAGCACACCTCGCTGGGGGTTTTTTTTTTTTTATGTTTTCTTTGCTGAATTTATTTGTTGCAACAGAATTTTTAAAACATGTTCTAAAAACTGATGACAGTCCAAATGGATCAGAATCACAATACCCTTCTTTTGAACTCAACATTACTCATGTTTATTAGTAATTACTCACGTTTATCAGTATTCATTTCTCATTTTTGTTATTAATCATTGCTCATGTTTATCAGTAATTGTTACTGCCATTTATCAGTATTCATTTCTCATGTTAATATAAATGATTAAATGTAAATTATAGTCATAATCAATTTGATTTTTATATACAAGTATAACATTTGAAAGACGTAATATTGAATAAACATTTCACAATGTGAAAAACTTTATTCATTACAGTTTTCTCAGTTGCTAAAACCCCTTTCTTGAAACCATCCATCCATTTCTCTAAACACAAAACCCAATTTTCAAACTACTTTCACAGAACCACACACCTCCACCCTCTTCATTTTCAACTGCACTCACGTAGGGTTTTTGGGGCACAGGTGTGTTACAACAGCAACAATTTTACATCTCTGTTTGCTGTGGCCACCTGGGCTCCAATTTTACTGTACAACCTAGGCATTCACTCATAACCTCATAACATTTACACATAGGAACATGGGAGTGGGCACTTATGCATGTAAGGGGCGGGATGGGACAGTCTCACCACTGATGCCTGTGTCCAAAAAAACAAAAACAAAAAAAAAAAAAACACATGTTGGCTTTAAAAACATTGTCAGAACTTGCCTCCGATATTTTAATGCAGACCAAAAAATAAAACGAACAAAACAAAAACAGCCATTGGGTTTATTGAGGATTAATATCGGAGTCATAATAATAAAAAAACAGTTTTAATTTGTTTCAACGACTTTGTGAAAACTAATTACTCAGTGTAGAAAAGCAGTGAATTTCAGATTTTTGAAAGGAACTTGTTATATTGTACCGCAAAAGAAACAGTTTTGTAGTATGCAGTTTATTGACCTTTCTGTTGCTTTTCTCCCAAGAATTTTTTTTTTTTTTTTGCTCAATTTTGGTCAAGTTATTAAAACACTGTTTGCGTCCATGATAGCACAATGTATCTATTTACAAAATGTTTCCTACATTCTGTGGTTTTTGTGTTGTTTAATAATTCACATATTTACCACAGGTAAAGTATTTTCTTCATCTGCATTTTCTACCAGTGTTTTGCTGTCCACCAAACCAGACTGTGTCCGGTTGTTGCCAAAGAAGAGTGGGTTGTCAAAGTTRGTTAACCTGTTATGGATGGGTAAGTAATGACCAGACTTCTTGAAAAAGAAGAGGGCAACAACTGTCCCAGCTGCAAGCCCAGCGATGACAAGCACAACTGCCAAAATGATGTGGCCACGTCCAGAAGGATTTGATCCAATATTTGGGGAAACTGAAAAAGTACGTAATGATCAGCAAACAAACATACAAAATAAAAAAGAGAAAGAAACATTAAAAAATCATATATTTAATAATAAAATTTTGAAATGATACAAACCAGATGATGGTGATAGGGTGTCTGTTAACACTGTAAAGAAAAAGAGAAGTTGAATAGAAAAATAAATGCATGTCTAGTTTAACACAAGAAGTATAAAAACAAACGTTTCATCTGGTATAATCAAAGGGCTAAGAGAGTGTCACTGGGCGAGTCAATGTTTCTTTGCATGATATTTGTGTGGATGGATAGATGGATGGACAGATGGAATTATCTAAATGATTATGTCTTGAGAGATGTTATTCAGTCTCTGCTTTACTGAGCAGTTCCTCTGCTCCCTTCAGATGCCTCTTTTCTTAATGTTTTGCAGAAAACCCTCATCAGTTCAAAACAGTGCACTTTATCCAACTTTTAAGTTATTTGGCTCTCAAATTACTCTCAAACACTGTCTGTGTCGCATTCCCCTTTAGGATGTTAAATCTCAATGCTGTTGAATCAACAAACAGAAATTGTGTCTGATTTGAAGATTAACACAAAAAATGAATTCGGAYTGAGTTCATGATCATTTTACCTTTTGCTGTTTTACAGATGTATGGTCTCTCCATCCATCCCCTGTCCTTTATCCACTTCCCATCTGATGTGCTAATTCTACAACGGTGGGAAGATCTTCCAAAGCTGAGAGATTCAATGTCATCTGAATGCCAGTTAGTGTAATCCAAAACTGTTTTATCCAACCACTGCCACACTCCTGGAGAAAAAAAGACATCTAAAACATAACTTTTTTGTGTTTTTTCAATGAAATACTGTATATCCTGCTGGAGGTTTAATTAATACTTGTTCCTGTGGTGCTTGCTAAAAATRTTTTTTCTTTCAGTCAATGCTATTATTGATGATAAATTTAAATATTAATTTTTCATAACAACAGAAAAAAGGTGCGTACCGTTTTTAGTTGTAAAGAGGCCAAGCCAATAAGATGGGTGGCTGTCTTGAAATATTTCGATGTTCCTTTTAATAAATTGTTGTTCAAAGGTATCTTCAATGCTTACAAGCATTCCACCTTCAGAAATCAAGTTCATGGTTTTACTAAAAAAAAAACATGCATTTGAAGAACTTTAACCAAATATTCCCAAGACACCTACCATGTTCTATACAACTGACTGATGCATCTGACCATGATTTTTGCTCAGAAATAAATAAATAACAGTAACCCCTAAATGGTTTCCATGAAACTTTGCGCCACGAAAATATTTCATATGGGTCTTCAGGACAAACTCCTGGAAAATCTGCTGTTTTGTCAGTGGGTGGCACATCTGTAAATGATAAAATCATTGACATTTATATAAGTTATTTCATTGTTTTAAAGTTGCTAATATAGTTTGTACTTGAAGCAAATGATGCAGTTATTTAATATAGCTGAAAGAAATTTACAAAATAGAACCACATTTGTATTATGAAGAATATTTATGGTAAATCAAGTGAAAATTTTACCTGTAGACTTCATGCAAACACTGCTGATGGTCTGATTACAGTCACTAGTTTTCCATTTCCCATCCACATCCACAAAGACACAATTTCTAAAACTYTTTGGTTCATATCTATCCCAGTTAGTAAATTTTAAGAACCAGCCATCGACAAATTTGAAATAACCATTTGTCTGGAACAGAAGTCATTGCATTCAAGTTAATCACTRACATAATACTTGGTTTAAAAATGTGATAAAATAAATTGTATTTTTTAAAGAAATGGCTAAGAGGGGGGCACAGTTTATATTTATTTCCTGTATTTGCTTCAGCACACTTGAACTATAAAAACTTTCCCGTTGTGTGTTTTTATGCACTGTGACAGAGATTACTCWACTCTAGATGACTGCATATAGTACTAAAGTGCACTTCTGAAAAACGTCTGCCTTAAAAACACACAAATGCATTAACRTTGAATATGAAATGAAGAACAACTCGATCTTTTAAAGTCTTACGTATGATCAACTATTGTTTTATTGCAGAAATTTCTAATTACCTGAGCTTTGTTGAGTCCAATCCATAGAGGACTCTTGAGATTCAAAGCCAGTAGTTCAATGTAAGCCTGTGTCCACTCAGATCGCACGCTGGCCAGATTTGCACCATCATCTTCACAGTGCTTCTTTGCTTCATCCCAGCTCATGTTTTTAGGAACAAGTTTTATGGAGTCATTGAGTATTTTGATATAGTTGCTAGAAGGTGTTGGTTCAGGGGAAACCGGGAGTGATGAGTCTGTTTAGGGTGGGATTGGAAACAAATTTATCCATCCAAATTTAAAATACTTTTTACTAATTATGTATTGGATAACAGTGTGCTATTTTTATGTTATTTATGGTGGAAAATGCAAATCCTTGTGAATTATGACTCAAATAATTCAACAAAACTATTGTGTAATTTACTTCATWTGATTCAAAGGCCCTGTCACACTATAACATTTTAGACAACTTATACCATCTTGTGAATTTTTTTGAKGACTAAATAACTCATATAGGTTATAAATTTGATWTAATCATCAGCTTCACAGTATGTATATGTCCAAAAGAGGCTTCCAAGTGATTTTTATATACTATATTCAGCTTAGACATCTTCAAAGTTGGACAAAATTTTCACAAGTTGTCTAAAATGTTATAGTGTAAATGGGCCTTACTAATGTTCTTCTCAACATGTCACCACACTTTATTTTAAGGTGACTTACCAATTTTTTGCAGGCATATAAATCCATTAGTGTCATTGCAGGACTTGGGTATCCATTTGCCAATACCTAATGAAGGGTTAGTATTTATCACAGCACATTTTTCCTGATACATATACTGTGAATCAAAAAAGAAGAAAAATGTCATTAATGTAGAAGATACAAAAGCTTCTACGTGCATTGACATCACATTATGATGCTGGTTGTAAAAACAGATCTYCAGAGAGTTGAGTTTAATACCACATTCTAATGTGCAATGTTTCTTGTAAATGCTGGGAGAACGGCCMTTTTTATGCAGATAACATGATCCTGATGGCTCACTTAATTGACACTATTACCCAAACATAGAATAAAATGAGAATAAAACTTTCTTGCATAAATTTTCMGGCCAGTAAAATTACAGGTTCACCTAAAGTGCTGCGGTCTGAACTGTATTCGCCTCTGTGATCAGAACTCCACTCAGATCACAGAGACCCAAAGTCACCTCCTTCACCACTAGCTCGGCTTCTTCAACCAGCAGATGTTACAAAGTCTTATGAACATCTACAAAAAAGCATGAGCTTTATTTGCAAGAACCATGCTAGACAAGTTAACTCTCCTGATATCCTGCTTCATGTGCCTTTTTACTTAAGGGCAGTGGTGTTAAACTCCCCCCACAAATATTTATTTTATTGTTGTTACTTTAGTCGGTTTTTAACACTTAGTGCCATACGGAAAGACAGACATAATTTTAAGAACTACTTACGTCACGTTCATCCTGCAAAATAAATCCAAAATAAAAACAAATTAGTTTTTACAACATAGTCAGTACATTATAGACATAAAATGGAAAATAAAACTAATTTTACCATTTAACAAAACACCAAGATTAGGTATTTATTAAAGAGGCAATGTATAAATGGATGGACAGAGAGGCTGATGGACAAGTAAACGACTGAATGGATGAGTGAATGGGTGGGTAGATAGGCGGGTGTGTGGGTAAGTAAATACTAACAAAATGGTTCATCTGCTAAAAAGAAAAACAAATGAGATTTGAAAATTTTTTCAATAACAGTCAGGCAAAAAAGTACTTTTATCAATTAAAAAAACTTGTATGTATGCATGCATGCATGCATGCATGTATGTATGTATGTATGTACAGTATGTATG